TAGTAGTAGGAGTAGCAGCAGCAGCAGCAGCAGCGGCAGGAGGAGGAGGAGGAGTAGTAGTAGTAGTGGTAGTGGTAGTAGTAGTAGTAGTAGTAGTAGTAGTAGTAGTTGCAGCAGTACTCGTCGTCGTCGCAATCGCAGCCGTGGTAGTAGTCGTAGTGGTAGTAGTCGTAGTGGTGGGGACAGTGGTTGTGGTTGTGGTCGTGGGGGTGGTGGTGATAGTCGTGGTCGTGGTCGTGGTCGTGGTGGTGGTTGTGTTGCCAGTGGTGGTCGTGGTAGTGGTAGTCGTGCTGGTCGTTGTCGCGGTTGTGGCAGCAGTCGTGGTCGTGGTCGTGGTGCTGGTCGTGGTGGTGGCGCTGGTGGCGGTGGTGGTGGTGGCGGTGGTGCTGGTGCTGGTGGTGGCAGTGGTCGTGGTCGTGGTGCGTAGTAGCGGTAGTGGTAGTGATCGTGGTGCTGCTGCTGTTGTTGGTGGTGGGGGTGTAGTGGTGGTAAATAGTCGCAGTCGTCGTGGCAGTGCTGGCGGTGTTGGTGGTGCCATGGTAGTGGTAGTGCTGCTGAGACATTGCCTAAACATTCAGCTGCATCGTCATGCCCATAACAACCTCAAGCCCCCCGAGATCCGGGCTTTCCAGGCTTCAGCGTTTAGCTTGGTTTGGGGAGAGTTTTGAGGTTTTGGGGTTTTGGCTTGGGTCTAGGCCTGAGGCGTTTAGGAATTCAGTGGCTTGGCTTCAGGGGTTCAGGTCTAGAAGGCATAGGGCATCGCGGTTTGATATTTACAGTTGGGTTTGTGGATGTAGTGTTTTTCGGGTTAAGGCTGAGGCTTGCACAAGACCCGAGGCTACAACGGCGCCTACGCAAACTGGAATTGGGGGCAACAGATGTATCCGTCTATGCACCTTGGTAAGGGTTTAGGGTTTTAGAGTCTTGAGTTTTCGGGTTCTGAGTCCTTTGGGGGGTTTGGACTTTTGGTGTTGTGTAGCACATCTGTGTGCGAAGTGGCAACTCCTGGCTTTCATCATTCACCGATGGGCACCGAGGATCTTCATGAGTCGATCACCTCGAACATCATATTTATTCTAGTATGTTCCGTGGCCACTTTGGTAACAGTATCGAACTCGAACTTTTCTTCTCCCACCCTCCCTAACCCTTGTCGTTTATTCGATTTTCCTCTGGCTTCATTCTGCGAGCACCGACTCGGAAACGGTCGGTCCTCAATATCTTGAGTTGAACATTTCTGCATGAAATTCGCGTGACATATTGGAGATTCCCCGATCAGGACTCCGAAGGGAGTCCGAAATCGCAGAACACGCCGCCGATGTGAAAGCAGTTGGAAAAAGGCTTGCGCAACAAGGGTCTGGTTTTCAGAAACTAACGCACTACAGGCTCGAGTTGTTGCACATTCCGAAAAGCTGACATTTTCACGTACATCATCACCACTAACCGAAAACAGCGCTCGTGTTAATGCAATGGCTGGCGTAAATAGTGCCTAAGCTCGTGGCAGGAGGCATTCCTGCGGGAAATCAAACAGCTCTCAGTCTCTTGGTTCGATTTCATGTCCTTTCCCCCTTCCCTGAACCCTATAAAAGCCCCTCTCGATGATGTCGCTCGCAGCCGTCTGGCAAACAGTTCAGGCAGGCTTCAGACCCAGTACGCTTCTCGGCGAACATGGATGGAGGAAGATCCGACCAAGATCTCGGAGCGCTCGCAGGAGGACCACACGGAATCCCGCGATCGCTTCGTGAGGAGCCATCCCGACGTCATCTTTATCGATGCGAAGGAACCGCATAAGAAGTTCGTGGAACGGCTATCGCGCGACTCCCTGATGCACGAAATCGTCCGGTACTACGAGCCGGCGGAGATCCGCGCCCGCTCCGACGTCATCATCGTGAAGTCTGCTTTGTCGAGGAACGCGGAGGACTTGCTCTCGATCGCCAAGGCTGACCAGCCGGAGCCGGTGACCGATGCGAACACGCTGTTCAACAGGCTGCATGCGTTCTGCATGGCACTCGAATACCTGAACATCTGCGCCTTCTCGCTGCAGCGGCTGACACCAGCAAAGCACGTGCAGTGCAGTGCAGACTGGTAAGGCCTTGCATGATTTGTAATGCAGAGTTGTAAGCAAGGCCCCGCATGATTTGTACAGCACTGACTGCATACTTTTGGCTTTGCCGGGCTTGTGAATTGCAGACTGCAGCCGCTGACACCAGCAAAGCAAGTGCAGTGCAGTGCAGACTTGTAAGACGACAGGACTTGTTAACTTCCTGTCATGTTCGCAGCATCTCTGCTTTTGGAAGGTGCCCGTCCTCTTTGTGGTTTCCGGAACATGGTCACAATCGTCTCGTGTGTCACGCAGACTGGCGAGGTGTTGCCAAGCACCCCCTCACGGATTGGTGTTTGGGGTACACATCTCTCTTCTCTCTCTCTCTCTCTCTCTCTCTCTCTCTATATATGTGTTTTTGGCATGCATCCAATTTGCATGAATTTGTATGTATCCGTACATGCAGTGTATATCTATACTTATGCCACGAGTGTCAGGAATGCATTTCAACATGAGCATGCCAACAATGAAAAATACATAAGATTGTCATGAAAATTGTGAAAAATGTACATCTGAAAGTCTCCAAGAGGACTAATTTTACAGGACCAAATGCCTGAAACGGACATGAAAAGTGGTGAAACAGAAGCATACAATGATGAAAGAACTGCATTTGTGTTGTTCAAAATGAGAGTTCAATAATGAAGGCTGGGCTAAATACTTATGTATGTACATATGTATGTACGTGTCCGCGTCGAACCTTATGGAACCCTATGGAACCCTATGGAACCCTATGGAACCCTATGGAACCCTATGGAACCCTATGGAACCCTCTGGAACCCTATGGAACCTTATGGAACCCTATGGAACCCTGTGGAACCCTGTGGAACCTCATGGAACCCTATAGAGCCAGTAGATAATCCTATCTGGGGTATATCGCACCTCCAACCCACGCCCTAAAGGAGTTGCTCTTCCAACTTCTTGCTTTCCGTGCAAGCTGACATCCAGGGCTAAATCATGCTTGCAAGATTGCATGGCACAGCATATCCAGTCATGCAATTATGCTTGCTACAAGTAGGAGATGTTGCATTGAGCAATCTCTTCTAGTAGTAGCACATTCTTTTGCAACCATGGGCGCCATGGGCACCACCATGGAGTGCTGTCGAGCTCGCAATGAGAAGGATGATGTTATCACGGTAAATGGCCAGGTGATCGAGCTTGAGAAGGCTCCACGATATCGAGCGCCGGCTGTAGTCGACTACCAAATAACGCAAGCACTTCACTCCGGCGATATGATGAGCATGGATGAGACGGATGAGATTCACGCGATTTCCGGACGGGCCTCTGACCAACCAGTATGTCGTGCTGTCCAACGTGATCATGTGATGCTTTCTGCTCGTTTTGACAAAGAGGCAGGCCGTGGTTTTGGGAGCTCTTTTTAAGGTTTTGCTTTTTCCACTGAGCGGACCCCATTAGACATGTGTCGGAGTCGCTTGTCCCTCAAATTCCTGGTAGCAGGATGGAATTAGCACTTAATCAACATGTATGTCCGGCATGAACTCTGGCAGGCAAACGTTGAGTATGCACGGATGCTTGCGCGAGAACTCGCGGAATTGCAGATTCGTACTGTGATGGTGAACACAGCCTCTGACTTTGGGGTTGCGACTGATTATTGCCTGGCAAAAGCAAGAATCATGGTGGCGCTCTGCACGTCGACATATGGACAGAAAACAACTGGCACCTACGAGACTTACATGGAGCTGAAGTTTGCAAGGGAGCATCCATCACAGATACAAATCGTTCCTGTAAAGCTGTTCCCAGAGTATCCGCCTGTGCCCCCTGGACCTGAAGAAGGGCAGCATCAAACCAAATCGTGTTCTCTCCGGCCCTTTTGTACGTGAACGGCCTTGTCAGTGGTCCGAAGGGACATCTCAGGAAGATGCCTGTGGAGCAGCTGGCCACAAAAATCAAGGAGCACATCGAACGCTTGGGTCTCTTGAGCGAAGTTTCCAACCCTCAGACAAGTGTTTGGGACACATTGTTGGGCCGCTCTGAAACGCAGCAAGCCGCCGAATCATACAAATACCGTCTTACTTAGAATCACCTAAGGTGATTGAAAGGCTTTACACGCGCGGAAAGCCTCCTTTTCAAGCGCGAACCGAGAGTGCCTCATCCCAGTCTGGAAAAAGCCGATGGTTGCAAGTTCAAAGCCCCATCCCTAACAGCGTATCCTTGGTATCCAGTCCTGCCTCCCACATCTACACTACCAAGCGCTACAACCTCCCGGACTTCTACCTCACCAGGGCCCTGGGTTGTGTTATCCGTCATGGTAAGCCGAGTTTAAGAAGCCAAAAAATGTGTTCTCAATTAGTCTCAACGAAACCACCAACAGATGTGTGAACACAATGCCTTAATAAACAATCACACCAACATACATTCAGTAAGTGATAGTTTTATTTGGGGGTTGGCCTTGTTGTTGTGGGCCCGGCATCTTTTCCTAGGTCTTGAGCTTTTTGTGGACCCGTCTCCTTTTCCTTCGGCGCCACCAACTCTAAACCCTAAACCAACTCAGTTCAAAATTTCAAGGCTTGAAACATGCCTTCCATCATGTCCCATCAGCGTTTGGCCCATCATCTCCGCTGCAGGCTTTGGACATTGGATTTCCGGAGAGTACTGTATCTCCTTTATGGCATCCTTTTGGGGTGCTCGGCTTCGCCACCCATCACATCCCTTGCGGCTTGTGAACTTACCACACATCTTGTCAGTCATGGGCTTGTAGGTTTCCATGCGGCATCCCAAATTGGGTTTTGGGGAGAAACAGTCATACGTGTCAGGGTTAACCTGACTTCAACATTTAGTTTTTCGTTTAGTCTTGCTGGGTTACAACCGACCATGAGTAACGCTCATGATAACCCCTTAAATGTACTTCGACATGCCAGCGATGCAGACGCGTGTCGTACAGGTCTGGCACGCCGCACCATGGCGGCTACAACAGTGGACAGCGTGATCAGCTCCTCTGAGAGCACGGGGTGTTTGGATTTGGATTACAGCCTTTACCCAAAGCTGTCAACCCTAAACCCCAAAAATTCTCTCGGGGCTTGGTCTCGTGGGAAGTATAAACTTCCAAAACAGAAACCTTTCACCCGAAAGCCTGAGACCCAGTTGCTGCGGAAGGCCAAGACATACGAAAAACGATGTTACAGACTATACTACTATAGGGCCCGTGTAACTTGCAGAGTCAGTTTAGGCTCGGAGATCTCCGGCAACGACTGGAGGCTAAGCGCGGCTAAGCCTTACACCCTTGAAGGCCTGTGGCCATGATCTTTGCATATGGCCGTGTTCCAGGTGTACTAATCCCTACTTATCCCTACGTCCTGACGCAGGCAGCCCTACACCTCATAAGCCCTAAACCCCTGATCCCTCAAAGCCTAAACCCTCAAACTCCGCAACTCGAAAAGCGGACAAAGGGCTTGGAACATTAAAAGCCCTAGAAATTTTGAACCGAGCCCTCAACCCTAAACACTAAAAGCCCTAAGGCTTTGGGTCCAAAATTCCCTACCAGGATATACTATGCCAGACTATGCTTAAGGACTGCACTACACTATAGTATGTTGTGGTATAATACAGTATAGTATAAGCAAGATACCATGATATAGATTATACTATATTGTCATATTGTAGTTGCTGCAGTTTTGTATAGTATACTCTGATGTATTATCACCCCTGACTAGCTTGAGGCCGCGCCATGCGACCATTGTGAATCGCTACCGAAGGCACTGTCGGGGGCGGTTTAGGGTTCTGAGGGTTCAGGGCTTCGGGATTTGAAGCATGTTGCCTTAAGTCTTAAACCTCTGTCACCCCGTGCTGTCATTGCTTCTAGCAGCAGCATGGTAAGAGCAAGGATTGTCAACAAGCCAAGCAATGTTGCCGTTGCTGCTGCCGCCATCGAACGGCCACTAGTTGCAGCTTTGTTTCATCTTCACCCCCCAGAAGCCAACAGCCCTCATTCAATGAAGGTGTACACCTCAAGTATGAATTCAGGTACATCCTCGAATGAACGGCTTTCAGGTTTACCGGGAACCCCGAAACAGACCTTCTGAGCCAACACTCTGAAGCCTTAGTGCCCGTAGGAGAACCCCAAACTGCAAAGCCCAAACTCCAAAACGAGAAGAAACCCTAAACCCTAACCGCTAAACCCCTAAACCCCCTAAGCCCCCTAAACCCCTACACCCTAAACCCCTAAACCCCTAAACCCGAGCCTCGCAGGGACAAGCAACCTGCCGACTCCCCGAAGCAAAGCGAGGCTCTGCAAGCCTTGAAGCTTTTTTAGGCGTGTGTTTAGAGTTTAGGGTGTGTTGAGGGATTTAGGTGTTCAGGGGTTTAGAGTTTAGGGTTAAGGGTTTTGGGGTTGTTGGGGCTTTGGGGTTTTGGGGTCTAGGATTTCTGGGTTAGGGTCTGGGGTTTGTCTGCGCGTGTGCTTTCTTTATTCATTGGGGTGCTGTAGGGCTTTCGGGATTTTGGGTTCCGGCTTTCGGTGTGTTGATCGCCGATCGTATGGGCTCTGCAAGTTGTCTTTTTTGTTGTTTCTGTGACGGGTTTTGTAGGGCTGTGGGTTTTGGGGAGTCCTTTATACACACGTAATTAAGTAAAAAAACTCTAATAAGGAAGCCTCAAATCAAATCATTTAGGTAATTAATGTAGGCCCCTAGATTAGCAAAAGCAGCAACAAGAGTGGGGATACGAGGTTTTCTGCTGGGTAACGCTGCGCTGATTCCTAAACCCCGCGGCCCTGATAATTGAGACTAGCCCGGAGAGGCAAAGTGGAAGTGTTTAGGGTTTAGGGTTTAGTGCAGAAGACTAAAAAACCTCGGGACATAGCAAGACTCAGCAGTTGAAACCTGATCCCAGAGGCGCCCGCCTTCGAAAACACTAAACCCTGCAGTAAACACTTCACCGTAACCTTGAACCCTGAATTCGTAATGTCCTATAACCCAAAGTGGGGGGGGGGGGGTTCTGCGGCTCCCCAAAAGCTTAAGACAGAGCTCTCGCTTTTCAGACGTCGAATGGCCCGAAACCCTGCGCCCGGCCCTAGTTCAAAGGGCTTAGGGTTTAGTGGGGCTTGGGGTTTGGGCCTTAGGGTTCAGGGTTTAGGAAGAAGAACAACACGGAAGGGAAAGACCAGCAGAAGCACCAGCAAGAATAAGCCTTCGAGGTTCGTGCTTAGTAACGCTGCAGTAGCAGCACATAATCCCCAGCAAAACATAAAGGATTGATCCCAGGAGCCCTTCAACCCTGCACCCTAAACCCCGGGAGAACCCCCCTCGCAAAGTTCAGGGTTTAGGGTTGAGGGTTTAGAGAGACCCTGAAAAACAACCCTGAAAAAACACCCGACCAGTGGAAAACTCTGAGAAGGCTCAACGAAACCTTTGCGACATACCGTTTCGGCTTTGCACGTGTGCAACCCTTACACAGAGCCCAAAAGACGACTAAGAAAAATTCAGACATGGGCAATTCTCTAAAACAGGATCCCTTTTAGGGTCATTTTGTATAAGGATGCCGTACTATCTTGGGGCCCTAATTTAGAGAACTACCCACACGGTGGCCAGCAAGCACGAAGGCTCCAGCCCTACCCGAAGTCTCGCGAGAACGGTCCAGGGGAGATCTCTTCATGGTTCAGGTCCCCAAGCCCTAGACCCTAAACCCGAAACTCTTTGAGGTTTGAATCGTGAGGGTTTTATGCTTCGGTGCGTCGTCTTCAGTGCATTGACATCTTGACCTGTGCCTGAAGCCTACCTTAGGGTTCCTTCTTATCGGAGTATCGTTTCTATAATGCATTTCCTTAAAAAGGTAGGTCTTTTGGGCCACAGGTAGCGTAGGAAGCGCTTGCTTCGGCTTCCATTTTTTTAATTTCGGGGTGTCGAATCAGGGGTTCCTGCATCAGGATCCCACCTCCAGCCCTGAACCCTAAATCGGCTTAGGGCTTCGGGGTTTAGGGTTTCAGGATATCCAGGTTCCTGAGTAGTACCCTTTTGCCCTTTCTATTTTGGGGCCTCCTTACTCAAACCGAAGAATTAGGAAAAAGGGTACCCTTATTATTCAGGTGTCACTCAGGATATCCCCAAACCCTAAGCTAAACCCTAAACCCTAAAGCCTAAACCCTAAACCCTAAGCCCTAAACCCTAAGCCCTAAACCCTAAACCCTAAAGTATCAGAGCCCAAAAGCCAGCAAAGAGGCCACGGGAGCGCCGAGGGCCGGCGGCAATGCTGCAGCCGGAGGCGCGAACCCTGAAGTCATTTAACTTAGGGTTTTGGCGTTTTGGGGGTTAGGGTTTTGGGGTTTAGGGTTTTGGGGTTTAGGGCTTTGGGGTTTAGGGTTTTGGGGTTTAGGGTTTTGGGGGGTTTTGGGGGTCAGGGTTTTGGGGGTTAGGGTTTTGGGTTTGGGGTTTGGGCTGATAAGGGGAGTTACTAGGACAGGGCTCGGGAATATAGTAAACTAGCTTAGGGTTTAGGGTTTAGGGTGGAGGGTTTAGGGTTTAGGGTTCTACGGCTGATGGTATAAATCCTGCATTACCCATAATAAGGAATATACCACACTTCCCATAGTTTAGGGTCCTTAAGGTAATGCAGGATTTAAATCATCAACAGTAGGACAGGGCTCGGGAATATAGTATACCTATTGTAATTTATAATAGGTATGCTATATTCCCGAACCCTGTCCTAGTAACTCCCCTATTCCAATGACACTCAGGAACAATTCAATTCTCTAAAGATGGAAGTCGGTCAGTCTTCAGGCTTCAATGTGAGGGTTTTTGAGGTTTTGTTGAACCCCTGAGC